TTAATTTTTGATTTGTGACAAAATACGCCATTTTACGCCGTATGTGAATTTACTCTTAAGGCCTAAACACAACAGCGATCGCCTCTCGTTGCACAATACCGCGAAAGAAATAAAAAATGCCAACCAATCTGATTTCGTATATAGACTGTAGTATATTCTTCCATTTGCTTCAAGGTTATAGTAATATATATAAACAGAATAAAAAATCTGGACGCTGAATGGTAGGCTGTAAGGCGATAGACACAGAATTCTAACTTGTCGGAAATTTATTGCTATTGCCTTATTCCGTGTTCCTATGTGCAATGACATATGCATTCCCATATGTTGAATTCCTCTGTTTCTATCGCTATCGCTATTGCTATCGCTGTTTCTATCACTATCACTGTTACCTCGCATTGTGTTTAAGGCTTTACTCATCCGCGAGCATTACACATCTCAGTCGATAGAGAGCAATGGCGGAGATGCATACTCGTAAATAAGAATCACCTAGAAAAGAATATAAGGAGCGCAGCATTTCGCATGTAAAATGAGCTCTCAAAGTTAGACTTTAATATTAAAGTACCCATGTTAATTAAGTACCATGGAATTCTAATTCTATCATGACAGCAACGTAATAGCATCTTGAATTCATGTCAAATGAGTTCAAGATACTATCATGTTACTTTGAACAGTACAGTGTAAATGTACTCGAAACTATAGGCTTACAGTATAGGAAGGCATAGGAAGGCGTAAATCTTTGGCATAGGATTAGAATTTTATGCCAAACTATTTCCATGGTTCATTCACGTACTTAGTTTTTAGCTTAGTTAAATGTACTTTCGGGCATAATTAAACGCATTTTTCTGGCGTAATTTGACGTTGTTTGGCGTACAAAGATGTGAATCGGCTTACTTTAGCTAAGAGTAGAATTCTACGCCAAACTACTTCCATGTTCCAAACCGCGTATTTAGGAAGTTTTTGCGTATTTAGGAATGGTTTTTGGCATACTTTGGCATAGAAATTTTTCTACCAGGGACATGTTGAAATTTTGTCAAAACTAAATTTTACTGGATTTTCAAATTATTCTGATCTTTCATTTGTATAACCACTTTTAAACCACAAATATTTAAATAAGTGATATCGTGAGAATGACAAGTGATTATATATCAGAAATTGTAATTTTATTATGTTATTTCGTTCATGCAAACTTATATTATTTTTTATAGAATCAGATTCTCAATCTTTAAAATAAAAATAAACAATAAATTCAAGGTTAACTGCAGTGGGATTCTCAAACGGAAAGCCCAACATATCATAAAGCTTGGGCAAATTAAATTATCAAAAATACATTATTAGAAAGACATTATTTAAAACGGTCTTAGAATAAGAATTGACTATGAATACTGGCCTTTAAGTAATTAAAACCAACATAAATCCAAAAATAAAAAAGATATGTACTTAAAATAAAATTTGAAAAATTGGTTGCAAAAGCACGTATCTCTTTATATGTCCAATCGCATTTTCACCTAATACTTTTCGAAAGAACGTTGAGCACTGCCCAGAACTCTAATCAGAACTATGGTTCAATCGCTTTTTCATCTAATACTTTTCGATAGAACTCATCAAGAACTACACAGAACTGTAATCCAAACTACTGGAACTCTTAAAAAATTTTTCGACGTCGGACTAAAAAATTTTCAATGATAGTTCAAATGATCCCATATCTCGAAAACCGTTGGCCCAATCGTTTTTCCACCTAATACTTTTCGATAGAACTCGAGAACTACACAGAACTCTAATCAGAACTATTTAAAAATTTTTCGATGTCGGATTTAAAAAATTTTCAATAATAGAGTTCAAATGTGCGGAAGAATAGTTCAAATTGCGGAGACACTATAGTGCTATCTGTGTTATTCTATTAAACATGTTTAGTTAGTACTTCCAAAATATTAGGAATACAACAAAAATATTTTATAGATTATACTATTATTATATCTGAGTATTTATGTAATATTTGAGCAAAAATATCTTATACCCGTTATCAACTCTTAATTTTAATCTCGATTTAATTAACAATTCGTCTTTTCCTGGTTTTAAGAATTACAAGATGAAGAGTACATTAAACCGACATTAACGTTAATTTACATCGGCAGAAGTGGATATATTGGTAATTAAAAAATTATTTGATATTTTTTTTCCATTTATAAGAATGTAAAATTGTATTTAATAATATTTATTTATACATAATAATAAATAAAACCAAGCTCTCGAGAATTTAAAAAAATAATTAAATAGATAACAGGCAATTGAGAGCAATAATACGCAGTAATTTGTGCGTTATATTAGAACATCATGTATCAAATCTTACATAAAACGGAGTCGAAACGTAAGGCCCTTTTATGTAAGACTTGGAATGCTATTTCATTGTCGTACGACAAATTTTTCAAGCCTATTGATTAGCTATGGGATAGATTCGAGAATTTCTCTGTTCTGTACACATTTGTCGTACGACAAAAACCAATGCAATGGCTTTATATACAAGATTTGAATACGCGACATATAAAATAAATAAAAAATTTGTTTAAGAGTTCCAGTAGTTCTGATCAGAGTTCTGTGTAGTTATCGACAAGTTCTATCGAAAAGTATTAGGTGAAAAAGCGATTGAACCAACGATTTTTAAGATACGCGGTATATAATAAGACATAAAAATTTTTTTGAGAGTTCCAGTAGTGCTGATTAGAGTTCTAGGCAGTTCTCGACGAGTTCTATCGAAAAATATTAAGTAAAAATGCGATTAGTTTATACATATATTATATTACATAAGAAAATACGTGCTTTTGCAACCAATTTTTCAAATTTTATTTTAAATATATATCTCTTTTATTTTTGGGTCTGTGTTGGTTTTAATCGCTTAGAACTCTTCGAATAGATAGAATAACAATTAATGTTTGACAAAACTATTGTATAAAAAATTTTTTTTATACATTTTGTTGTATTAAAATTGGTTTTTATGCATCAGGAACTTTAGATATTCTCACAAAATAAAGTTATTAAGCTGCTCAGAACTATTCGATTTCGAATTTCGATAAATAGCACTCCATTAAAAAAAAAATATTAAAAAATTGTTATTAAGCGAATCTCGAGTTAAAAAATACAGAGAACTCTTCGTATGAAAGAAAGCAGGAACTCTATTCAGAACTATTTTATATAAAAATGAATTTTTTTTTATTTCTTTTTGATTTTTCAAAAATTTTTTTATGCATCAGGAATCGTAGATATTCACGAAATGAAGCTATTGACCGCTCAGAACTATTCGATCTCCATTAGAAGTTAGCACTCCATTGTTTAAAAATTATTTAAAAATAGTTATTAAGCGGAATTCTTGTTATAAATTATAGAAAACTCTTTGTCTCGTCAAAATAAAACGAGATCTCTAATCAGAACTGCGAAATTTCAATGTTGGGATGCTTTTCACAGATGCATATTCAAGGCTTCCTTAAATTTATCCAGATGCTCAGTAGCCAATAAAATAATTCATAGAGCAGCTAAAGATAAATTTAAGGAAGCCTTAAATATAAGGCCTAACTAATACAGACATTAATCATTTCATTAAAACACTGTGTATATTCTAATTATCATTTTATTTAATTTTAATTAGAAATGATTTACGAAATGTTCATCATTAAATATACATAGTTTGACTTTTGCAAGAAATAAATTTTTTTTTAACAATGTCTGTTAATAGTTTTCTGCAAATTGCTCATTGTAAAATTAAAAATAAAAAAAATATTTGCACTGCTTCTTTATGAAATTTAAGTCTATTTCATAATTTAAAAAAAAAGAAGTTTAAACTTAGAATTTTACAATAATTTAATTTTATCTTAGATTAATAAATTCTTTGATAATAATTTCCCTGATTGTGTCCAGTTTTCCCAGCTCTCTGATCATTTTTTAATTTCACTGACTTTTTCTGATTTTTCCTGACTGCTAACAACCCTGTTTTAATTACCCAATAAGCAAAATGTTTAAAATCGACGCATAAACCAAATTTAGAATATCTTTAACCCTTTGTGGTTATCTAGGGTCCAGATCCCAAAAAAAGATGTGAAGCTTTATATTTTTAAAGTCTTTTTTTAAAATGGGACTTAAACTGTCATTTATCCATTTCAAATATGTTCAGTAATTTTTGTGATTTTAAAGAACAAAAGCTGTAAATACAGCAATCAATTAAAATGTCGGGATCATTTTATCCCCTGTGTGACCAACATAAATATCTTAGGTGTGATCACGAAGGATTAAGAGTTCTTCAAGAAATATTTTTGAGATATTTCATAAAGAACTTTGAAAGATATCTTGATGTTGTCTTATACATCGATTTTTATTCACTTATTCTGCAATTTTTAAAAATTAATATCTCCTTAATTGTTGTGACATTACACAATGATAAAAGATTTTTCAATTCAATTTTTCACAGTGCGTACATGCTGACTCTTGCGGCTGATGCGGATCACCCTATATATTTATGTAATTGTTAAGTCTAAGACCTGATCTGCAATATTCGCAATAATAAAATTGGCACTTTAAATTGGCTGTTGCAACCTGTACTAGGACTGTGCTATTGTAGATGAGGCCTAATATTTCATATATCATATAACAAACTTGTTAAGCATGTTGATTGGCTGCAGGACAGAGAAAACTTCTCTCTGAAAAACCTTGGTGTGTATAACATATGAAATATTAGCCTAACAGCATTAATGAAATGTAAATAATATAAATATATTGTAAATAAAGTATATTGTAAGTGTCAAGGAAAATTACATGGGATAATAAATAAGTGGCAACGTGGATAGTTAATGTACGCAAAGAAAAGTGATAATTTAGTCGATAATTATTAATGTTATGTATAGCACGATTTTAATTTATAAGATATGGAAGAATGCGTGTGGATACGTAATACTGTAAAACAAAATCCATTCTTGACTACGTAACTGAAATAATAATTCTATTCTATTCAATATTACCTATAATGTACAAAGTGGATTCCAGGTGGGATCAGTTTGAGTCCCTTAAAATTCTGCCCTACATTCCAGGACTTTATATCAATACCGATATCAGTGCCCGCAGGTACATCAAGTAAAACTAACGTAGCACCTTGTGTCAATAGAGTTTGTGCAACATTTTGATCTATTTCCATTTTGGCTAATTATTTAGAATTGCTCTCTTTCTTGTCTCGAATCTTAATAAAAATATACTCATTCAACACATATTAACTCAAAACAATCTGGCAGAAGAATGCGACGGCTTACTTGACTTGCTTCGCGAAACGAATCATTAGATACATCCAGAAACATGATCGCTCATTGAGCGGTGAGCGCTCGGTGAGCTCTTGTGTGTTTGGTCTATATTTTTAGATCTAATGGAATATGCCAATCAGGCTGCCAACAAAAGTTCACTGAGCGCTCAGTGAGCGATCGTGCTTCTGGATGCACCTAATATTACGTACATATTGCGAATTATGATTCAGGATGCACTCCCATGGGATGCAGAACTGTAGACTGTTGCCGGATGCTGGGGAATTTTCCGAAACCTAGGAAGAATTTAAAAAAATATAAAATAAGGAAAAAGGGCCTTTTTTTGTGAAAATAAGCTAAAATTTAGGGATTTTTAACAATAAATCAAAATTTTATGTTAAAAACATATATTTTTTACGTTAAGATAGATATGGAGTACTCATTTTATGTCGAGTATTAATCTTACTAGACTGATTTCTGAAATTAAATTTATGCTAAAAATATGTATTTATTTAGAATAGATTATGTATGGAACATTTATGTTAATTACTAGTCTTACTAGTTTGATTTCTAATGCGAAATCTACAATAGAAATCGTAGCAGGAGTAGTCTTAAGTCATAGAAAATTGACCAATAAGAGTCGATTACTCCTCATATTTAATTGCGATTGGTCAGTTTTCTTACTTAAAAGTGCCGTTCCATAAGCAAAAATTTACAATGGAACGGAACAGCGCGACCAATCATAACTCTGCAATCATTACTCTGCTTTTTTTTACGATTGTGATTGATCTTGCTGATCCATTCCGCTACAAATTTCTATTTATAAGATAGCATCTTGAGACTTTACGACCGATACAACTTCCATTGTAGATCCTGTATTAAACTTATGTTAAAACAATACGCATTATTTGTTTCTCTAATATTGCACAATAAATATATGTTATTCATTAATTTATAGTATTTATTATCATAATGTAAAAATATCAGATGTTCCGTTATGCATAACAGCAATAGCAACACTGCAAACACAGCAACACTAAAATCAATCAAATTTTTGCCTAAATTGACTTTCCTGTATAACAGCGCTGGCATATTAGAATAGCCAATTCAATTTTTGCCTAAATTTACGCTGCTACTGCGCAACCACGAGAACAGAACACCAGGGGATCAATTTTGTATCTTGAAACGAGATGAAAATTACAAAAGTGAACAAATTTACTAAGTGTTGACCAATGAAATTATCAGTATTCTAGTTAATTCGTTCACTTTTTGTACCTTTCACTTCGTTTCAATATACAGAATTGATTCCCAGGGGCCTTATTCTTAAAAAATATTGCATGCGAAAAACTAAGGAAATTCTATAGTTTGCGTTACATATACTATAATATTTCCCTAGTTTTTCAAATGTGATACTGGGGATTGATTCTGTATCTTGAAACAAGGTGAAAATTACAAAAGTGAACGAATTTACTAGAATACTGATAATTTCATTGGTCAACACTTAGTAAATTTGCTCACTTTTGTAATTTTCACCTCGTTTCAAAAACCGTAATAAGTCTCCTGGTATTTTTACATGTTTATTATTATATATATTTCATATAATATGTTTGTTTTATTTCATATTTATTATAATTCTAAATTATAATACATTAATAAAAAATAATTTATAATTTTATTTTAATAAAATTTGTAAAAAACTGAAATTTGAAAAAAACGAAAATTTTGAGAATTTAAGAGAAATAGGAAAAATTGGCGGAAAATTTGGAAAAAACGGAAAATTTTATGAATTTTTAAAGAGAAATAGAGAAAACTAGTAAGTTTTTATATGCTAACAGGGAAATGTTTTTGCTGGTAATACTGACTGCAAATATACGAAACTGCGGTACGTTCGTGATTGGTCGTGGCCAATCACGAACATACCTTTATTACGCCGATTTCACTGTTTTCTGTTGTGCAAATTTATTTCTTTTGTGGATTCCGCCGATGCCTGCATGTGTGGTGTGTGCATGTTCATATTTTATAAAAACTAACCTTGTTAAGCTAGTTTAAACGGAAAAAACTGTCTTTTACAAGCGCATGGTTAATCAACATGCCGAGGCGTGTTCGGATTCCCACCTGATCCTTGCTTACATGTAAATAACAAGAATGGAAGTCTTGTGAGGCCGATCGAGCTGGTTGGACGTATTTCCTCTCGTCTCGCGTTTTGCGTCACCTCGATTATATTTTCGAAAAATGTTGCCGACTTCGACTGTGCCTTGCATTACACTACTTACATTTCTTGCGTTACTGGCCGGATTCGCCGGCATTTCATCGGCAAGCGCCATTAAAATAGAAGAAAAAGAAGAAAAAGAAGAAAAACAAGAATGGAGTGATACCCTAGTACCACTCGAATGGGAATCTGAACACAACTGTAATTAAGTCTCCAGATAAATACGGAGGTCAATATGGTCAGAATACGAATATTGTATACGGAAAGGCAAAAATGTGAATCAAATGAATACACAAAACGAAGTTGGGGTAATGTCCCTGTATGTGTGATTTCCGATTCGTAGGAATTCATTTTCCTATGTCTCATTGAGGAATTTGCGAATGCACAATTTAATGCGAGCCAATGACAAACGCTATTTTGGTAGATCTAATGAAAACGATCTATAGGAAGACTCTTGCGATTGGTCAGAGCTAATTGCACATTCCGCAAATTTCGCTCAATGGGACATAGAAAAACACATTTTAGCTGAACGGAATTGGCGAAATAAAGCCACGACCAATCATGAACGTTCCGCAGTTCCGCATCCCATGGGAGCGCATCCTAAGAGTTTACATGACGGAAAAGTGGAAAGCGGAAAAGCAGCAGCCTATCAGGGTATCAATCATGAAACTTTGTCCCTAGGATGAAAAGTGAAAAGTGAAAATTTTCTCCATTAATTTCAATGGTAAAATTTTTACTTTCCATTCTAGGGATAAGGTTTCATGATTGATACCCTGAATTCTAGTAGTCTACAATTTTGGCTTTTTATACTACTTGCTATAGTTACTAGCGCGAATTCTTATTGGTCACTGCTTTTCCGCTTTCTGCTTTTCTGTCAAGATGTAAACGCGCCCTAAGGAAATCAACAAGTTGGGCTGCGTTCAAATTCCCATCTGGGTACCCTCAAGTATCATGTCATCCTTGTTTAACGTTCAGTAAATAATAAGAATGATATGACGGGATACCCAGGTGGGAATCTAAACGTATCCTTGGATTGGCTACTGCTTATGTTATGGCCTTATCAACGAAGTAATAAACCCTGATTTCCTGAACACACTTCACCTCAGTTGATATAAACTCGGCCTTATCGAGATGACAGGTTTCGTAACCTCAGTAGTAATTAACTTCGATGATTGATATCTTACTTTGCGATTCATAATTTCACTTTCTTTTACTACATTTTTTATTTCATTCAAAAACGTAATTCAAATGAGCATAATTTCATCGAAATAGAAGGTGAGGGTTATCTTCTAAATAATTACCCATGCTGATTTTTATTTATGCAAAAATTATTTTTAAAAAGATATTCTTTGTTTATTAAAAATTATAATTAAAAATACATTTGGTAACAATAGATTTGCTGTGATAAATAGCTAATCGCTATTTTGAAATTCTATCAAAATCCAACTGTACATTTCTCTCTCTCTCTCTCTCTCTCTCTCTCTCTCTCTCTCTCTGTATTAAAATCTTTAATAAGATTATATCAGTTCTTTTTGAATTAAGTTAAATTTTTTTGTTGTATGCTCGTAATGGGATAATATTTCGCGATTTTATACACTCCTTACAGAACTATATGGAATTACATCGCACTGTGTATACTTTTGTGAACTATGAGATCTTGAACGAGAAAATAATTTTGAAACACTCTATATGCCGTCCGTCTAGTACACACACACAGCTGAAACACATAAATTACTTTATCACAACTCAACACAGACGTTTCGTGTCTCATCACAAGTTACATCTATCTCGAAAAGATTGTGGTAAAAAATACATAGAAGAATCAGATAGAAAAAAACCTCCACGGATTAAACAAATCAACTTTGATAACGATTGCCGTCTGATACCACTTGTTTGTCATCTACTTTTATCTGTTTTGCACTGTTTGTCACACGAGTCAACTGCAAATATAATAATGGCTGACCAAAGTCATGAAGAAGTAATCAATTTTGGCGCTGGCCCAGCTAAATTACCGCACGAGGTATATTAAAAATATTTATTACAATTTGCATTATGCCAATAAAAGTTGTAAAATTAAAAAAATTTTTTTTGAAACAAATAATTAGTTTTATAAAATTAAATTTATTAATAATTTAAGTGTTTTTTAATCATTGTGAAACATATGATTTTTTATCTAAATAAAAATCTATATAACAATTTATTAATTATAAAGTGCAATAATAACTTTATTAACATATGTTTCTAAGAATAAGTTAACCTTATAAATTAAATATTAATAATATGTCATTTGTTAACAGACACAAATAAAATATTATAATAGATTGACATTAAGTTTGCATTAATTTCTGTCAATGTTAGCTGATATTTTGACACAACTTAGGATTAAATAAAAGAACACCTATCATTTCGTAACCATTAAAATGGAATATGCCACTTAAATGATTACGAAATGGCATTCTGTTTAGTTTTGTGTACTGTTAATCGATTTTGTTATATTTTAGTTGGTCTTTTATAGATAAAATCTATAGCAGGTACTTTGTAAAATCATTTTTCGACAGATTTGACTGTTTAAAAACGTCAATAAGAAAAATAATAACAAATTTATTTTTTTTTTAATGACGTATATTTTTATTTTACTATCTTTACTTAATTTTTATGAAATTATTTAATGAAATTGTATGTGTATAACATATATTTCATGTTATATTACATGTATTTTATACAAAATTATGTACAAAATATATATACAGAACATTAACTACTCTAAAAGATTTTAAGGAGTGATTTCTCATATAAATTTATGACGAAAACTATATGTCCGCAATAATTTTTAACAATTTATAGCAATTGGGTACACTAGTGTGCACTCAGTGCACATTAAAGTCGTCTTACACAAAATAATCAAAAAACGTGTTAAATGTAAATAGAAACCGTTTAATCACAAAATTCTCAGTACACTTTATTGTGCTGTTTGATAATGTAGGGTCTTCCAACTCTCTGGATCATTTCTTGGCTTAAAACACTACAAGCTTGTGAAATTTAGACCTCGAAGTTTTATTGAAAATGTAGTAGTTATAAAACAATAAAAACCATGCTTTGTTTAATCAATGACTGCATTCAGCAGAAAAAGCAGCTTTACACCTGTTGTAAAATTTTTTTCTTGAATATAGTTTATACATTTAGACCCAATTAGTGAGAAACTTAGAGCAAGACCAATCATATTAAAGAATTTTATAACAGTTGTAAAGCTGCTTTTTCTGCTGAATGCAGCCAATAATCTCTAAGTCATTAAGGTTTACATTTGCCTAATTTTATAACGTACATCGTTTTATACCGCAGATAGTTTTATATATTTTCTACAACCTATAATAAAAATGTATTTTATAATTTAAAATGTTTACATTTAACTTTTACATTCGGATTAGATCAGTGTATAACGCTTTTAATATACAGTAGTGCGCATTAGTGTATCCAATCGAGTTCGCTATTATTTTCAAAGATATAAGGTGTCAAAATTTAAGGAAAACTATTTAAATTATTTTGATTTTCAATCTAGTCTCTTTCCTACCTTCCCTCCTTCTCTCCCTCTCTCTTCCCCCTTTTCTCCCCCGCTCCCTCACTCCTTCCCCTCGCCTTCCTCCCTCCCTTCCTCTCTCCTTCCCTTTTCTCTCTCTCTCTTCCTCCCTCTCCCTTTTCTCTCTCAGATATAAATTATGACATAATGCAACTTAAAAACTTGGTTTGTGAATCTCAATAATATTTCTATACAATAAAAATGAAGTACATTATTACAATGAAGGCATTATTACAACTAGGTGATAATTTTTGTTTACCGGTATGCAATGTTCAGTCTGCTACCATAGATTTCATTAAAAACATAGAACAGAATATAAAAAAAATGCAAATGAAAATTCTTAACATCATGGATATAAGAAACAAAATTTTTCCATTAATCAATAATATAAAACAAGGTAGCTTTCATAGGGAAATAGATCGAATTTTTAGATCGGAGTTTGTAAAAAATAATCAATACTATTTTTATTCACTTACGTATTATTACTCACGCGGATAAAGGGAATGTGGTTGTGGCTTTGAATAAGTTTGATTATAACAAAAAAAAATGGAAGAAATGTTTAGTGATTGTGATACTTATACACAAGTTGCACGTAATCTGGTGTGAACAAGATAATCATTAATTTGACGGATATGTTGAAGAGAGATGGAGAAGTTTAGAAATGTTTTCTAAGTAAATTTATCGTTATTGCCAATAATATCATAATATCTTTCAAGACTTAGAATCTGACATTTTAAATAAATTGACAATCAAACCTTTGTTTTATGTATATTACGTGGATGACATTGCTCTTGCAATTGACAAGACACACATTGACGACCTTTGCAATATGTTCAACAATTACCTATCCGACTTAATTTTATATTGAAGGAGAGGGTGACAGATTGAACGTTTTGGATGTTATTTTTAAAAGATAAGGATTCAGTCATTTATGATTGGTATCAAAAGGCTACATTTTCAGGGCGTTTTTTGAACTTTTATTCTCAGTATCCTATAAGTAAAAAAATAGATATAATGTTGGGCTTGGTAGATAGAGTTCTGTTACTGTTACACCCTTTCTTTCATTTAAATCAAAATTTTATGAAAAAAATTTTGATAAAATCTTAAAAATCTTGTTGAATAATGAATATTCGTTAGAGTTGATTTTCTCTACCATTAAAAAAGAACACGTAAAAAATTTAACCTATGGAACAGTAATGCTGATAAGAATGAAGAGAATAGTTCAAAACAAAAAGGAAACAAATATTTTTTACAATATCATATATATAACAGGCATTTCTGACAAAATCAAGAATTTCATTAAGAGCTTTAAGGTAGTTAGCAAGGCATACAAAGATGTTGATAAGTTGAGCAGGTTTATTAGAGTCCGTGAAGACAGACTTCTTTTTATCCTCCATAAATGTGGTGTACAAAATAAATTGTGAGGACTGTGATGCGTCATATGTGGATCAAACGAGCAGAACTTTGAAAACGAGGATAGGTGAACATAAAAATCATATAGATTGGAGAACACAACAACGT